GAGGGATCTATAGATATATAGGCCTACGTACACAAAGAGAGGGACCATGGCGTCTTCTGATAAGGAGCTCGAGCAACAGCTCGTGGAGGCTGGGAATAAGCTGAAGGAGCCTCCTCCTTCAGTTGATGAGCTCCTTCCTCTTCTCGACGTAACCTCGGTTTCTTTTTCCTTTCATTTCTAAATGTGCTTGAACTTTTCGATACGTGTTAAGTTTGTGCATGTTTTCTCTTGTGTGTTGTTTCCGATAGAATTATTTCGTTTTGCTCGTTTTGTTTGAATGGAATTTTGTGGTACGGTTTGGTATTTATTCCGTTGTGATCTGTGTTTGCTTTTCTTCGTTACTTCGTCGTTATTTTTCAGGACGATGTCGTGTTAGATGCTGACCGAGGACGTAGTTTCGTTAATTAAAGTCACTTGAATATGCATGGTTCATCTTGAGTTGCTAGTTATATTTTTCTGTTTATCTGTACTATACTTTATCCAGGTGAACCAGTAAATGTTGCCTGTTTGAATAGTCATAACTGATTTGCTTCATCACTCCTTTTATGCTATAATACCGAGTTACTTTGATGGAAAAACCAAGCATGTACAAATGGCTTTGAAGTTTCATCCGCCAGGTTTTAACCCGAGGAATTATGTATTTCCCATGTTATATTTGAGTTTGATTTTTCAAATTGCATTTAAAGCAAACCCGTTTCTGTGATAGATATTGTGACATATAAAGATATCATAGATTATCTTGTTTAGGTATTTAATTAAACATCAGGAATGTTCAGTTGTAAAGATCTACTGGCTAAATCAATTTCATTAAGAAACTACTTAATTGGGAAATCAGATTGATCTGTATCATACATCTTCAATTACACTTATATTTATTACAGTGTCAGGACTGGAGACTAAGCAGGAAAGGTATTATATTTAATAATTGCAGCTTTCCTAATTGGTTCATGTGCTTTTTCCAGGGTAATAGTTGAAGGGAGAAACTTTCTATTGTGACCTTCTTAAAGTAAAGGGACTAGGTTGAAAAGCAATTATGATTGTAATTGTCTGTGATCTCATTGTGTCAATTGAACTAGACTTTGAATAACTCATTCTGTTTTACGTTCTTTGCTGTGTCATAAAGCTAACTGTGTGTTCATGATTCAATATAATTTAACATGCTTTGAAAAATATGCTTCACCATCATATAAACCGAAGCACTTTCGTGGTTATCCATGAATAGTTACCATCCAAGTGCAGGCATGAGTTGTTTTGTTTTTACTTTTCTCTTACTAGATATACCTGCGGAAGTGTCGCGTTCGTTGCCCTTCCATCTTCTCTGCTCTCAGATGTAATTGTCTTTTCTATCAAGCTACTAACCTGCTGAATATTTGGACAAGATCCTTCTTCCCAGTGAGGCAAAACTTATTTCACCTGTTGAATCTTCACCTTTTTTAGCATACAAGGAATACAACATTTTCAGATGAGACATGTATTATGTGCAATATTGATATGCCAAAATTACGAGCACTTGATTCCTCTAGAAACTATTTGGCTGTTTTAAGCTTGTGTTTATGAACGGTTTAAGTTCTGTATTTTTTTCTAAAAATGTTTTATGTCTATATTCTGATGCCACTTTGTTTCTGGATGAATGCAGCAAGTTGAGAATTGCCTTGCAAAGGTAGAACAGTCACCATCCAAGGCAATGCAGGATGCACTTTCTCCATCACTTAAAGCGTTGGTTGCAGATAAACTCTTCAGGCACTCAAATGCTGATGTGAAAGTTGCAGTTGCTTCTTGCATTAGTGAGATAACGAGAATAACTGCCCCAGATGCTCCTTATGATGATGAACAAATGAAGGTACCTCGAATTTGTTGTATTGATATCTTGACTGAATCTGTCCTGTTTGCTTTATTTCATTTCAGTAACGAGTTCTCTTGGTGTGTCTGCAGGAGGTCTTTCAGCTGATTGTTTCTTCATTTGAAAATCTAGTTGACAAGTCTAGTAGATCATATGCGAAGAGGACCTCCATTCTTGAAACTGTTGCAAAAGTTAGATCGTGTGTAGTGATGTTGGATCTTGAATGTGATGTGTTGATTATTGAGATGTTCCAGCACTTCTTGAAGGCTATAAGGTATAGTGCTTTTGATTGGTAGTTTCTAATTAGTATCCTATAACAAGGCATTGTTATTTATTTGTATTAAATGGTCGTAATCTGCTTTCTATTGATGTTTTGAATGTTTTTTATGTGTTTCTGGATATTGTAGTTTTCTGTTGCTATTAGTGAAATTGAGGAGAAAGTTTTTTATGAATCTTCTAGGATGTAATCTTGTGCAATGCTACATTATAATATGTTACTTTTTGAGTCAAAGGAGAACTGATTTCCTATAATTTGATGTAACCAATCTCTTGTTCATTCTAGTTTCCTTTTTTTTTTTTTGGTATTTGCGTTTGATTATTTTCCATCCACTATATTTCCCATTTTTGGCCATTGTAAAGTCTTCTTTTCTCCACCAGATGATGGTTTACCTTTAGTGAAGCTTGGTTTTCTCGTATGCAAGTGTTAGGTGTATGTATCATGACAAAGTTGAGAGGCACATGCATCAAAAAGAGGTTATTACATACTTATATGTATATGATTTATCCAACTTACTGATTGTGCCTTTTCTTACATTTCAGGGATTATCATCCAGAGAATGTTTTCTCATCTATGGAGACTATTATGACCCTTGTTTTAGAAGAAAGTGAAGATATTTCTCTGGAGTTGCTATCCCCAATGCTAGATAGTGTTAAAAAAGATAACGAGGTTGGCTATCATGCAGCTGATAATGTCTTTATTATTTTCCTTCATCATCATAAAATTGCTTGAATTTCTAATATTTCGCAGGAAGTTCTACCTGTTGCTCGGAAGTTAGCGGAGAGAGTTTTTATAAACTGTTCCACTAAGGTTAAGCCATATTTGGTGCAAGCAATAAAATCATTGGGCATTTCCCTAGAGGACTATAGTGATGTAGTTGCTAACATATGCCAAGAAACAACTGGTGACATGGAGCAGAATGATGGCACTACTGATGATCATGCGGTAAACCTCTCATCAGTGTCTGTATATATTTCTGGAATTAAACCAGGGGATGGTTTTCGCTTAACCTTTCTCGAAAGAAGACATTTTGGGGCGTTTTGGATGATAAGTTACCCTGCTTTCTTCTTAATAAAGTCTCTGCAAGCAATAAAATTTCTACCTCAGTTCATTCAAGCCCAAATGTCTTCTGTGTATGTATCTTTCTAGAAATTAGGGCAGAACCTTTTTCAGCCACTCCTGTCTATGAACTTTGCGTTGGTCAATAAAACAATTTAAGGCAGTCATCCTGAATTTT